TACGAACTTCGCCCCGCATACGTGAATTCGGCCTGTATGTATAGTCTTAGGCTATAGTTTCTCAATCTTCAAAAGTTTCCTCGGTAGCATATTGGGTCTATCTGGATTCCCCATAAATACTTGAAACTTTTCTGTATGTTATATTATCTCGTTTACGTAATCTCATAAAAACTCAGAAATCACGAGGATAAAGAAAGAAGAAATTCATATACGGATTCGAAGATTTAAATTTAAATTATCGGAAGTGGAAACGTCCTCGAAATGCAATGGAACTATATCGATTAATTGTGTAAATAGAATTTTATATTTTAAGCTATCAAACAAATAACTTAGAACCCAATCATTTTCGGATAACAAAAATACATATGTATGACATACACTCGAGAAAAACAAATCTCGTCATTTTTTTCATATTGTTTTATTATAGTTACCGGATAAAGTTCCGAAAGGGTGAACCTCTCTGATTTTTTGTCGCTTGACGTACTACTGTATTTTGATGTGCTGATTACGAATATGATAATGAAAATTGGTGACAAAGTCATTTTCAAAGTCTTTGACAAGGTCAAATAAAAACTTGAAAAACGATTTTTTCACTTTTTTTGTGCGTTTCACGTGCGTTCCCTAAGCAGGGGGAGAAATGGGATGAAGTCGCTTCGCATGGAAGTCGTGCCTCCCTAAGCAGGGAAGAAGTGAGGTGGGAGTCGCTTTGCGTGGAAGTCATGTGCTCCTAAGCAAGAGGAGAGGTGGGGTGAGAGTCGCTTCGCATGGAAATCATGCGCTCCTAAGTAAAAGGGGGAAATGGGGTGGGAGTCGCTTCGTGTGTAAGTAGTAACGCTTAACTCGATTGCAAATGGTCACAACTTTCTACGCGAAAAAATGTGAAAAAAAATCGGTTTTTTAATATTTGACCTTGAAAATAATCTTGTCACCAATTTTCATTATCATATTCGTAATTAGCAAAATATAATAATATGTCAAATGATATGAAAATCAGAAAGGTTCACCCTTTCGAAACTCCAAATATCTTCTCTTGGGTATAAAAACTTTATTCTAATTATTTCAACCATTATTGAGATCCAGTAATCTCGATCCGGCACAACTCGCGTAGAGGAGCACGGTAGTGTCTCGCGCTATGTCTTAGTACCGAGACACTATTATTTCCAGATAGAATTATGCAGTTAGAAATGGTCTAAATGATACCGACTGATGATCCCGAGAAATCAATGAGAGAGATGACCTACGAGTGAATTGATTTCATTTCCAATGAAGAGAATTGAAAATGAATGAATTTTTTGCTGTTATTTTTCTCTTTATTCGCTACAGGAGAAGCTATTTAAACGTGACTGACGTTAAACTATTGAGATGGAGCGCGATTTTTTTCCATACCCCTGGAGTCGCTCGGCGCGAGGGCAGTATTTCGGCCCGCGGTAGAAGCGACGACGTTAAGAAAGCAGCATTCTGTGAATGGAAGCGAAGCCTCGGAGATCAGTCAGCAGGCAAGGACGACTAATTATAGCGTTAATATCTCAACTTCATTTTGTACATTAACCATGTGCACCATTACGCACATGTGCGTATGTACATGTATTATGCTGCGTAGTGCTTATGATGTACACGCGCCCGAGATTATGATCCGACACGATTTATTTTGATCGTCATCATCGTTGTCGTTGTTTTCGTCGTCGGAGGGATGCGAATTCAGAATGGCGAACGTGCGTCACGCTTACTCTTGTTCTATTGACACGCTCTGTGTGTATGTGCGTGCGTGCGCGCGCGCGCGCGTGCGCACATGTGTGCGGATCTCATAAAATATCCACCAACAAATTGCTACGGGAGAAATACTTGCGCACGATCCCTGAACTTTATACTTGGCAGATAAATCAGACATGAGAGCGATGTACGCGCGAATTTCTTCCTCTGGAATGTTCGGTCTTAATTTTTAATGACTTTTGGCTAATAAATATCTACCGACTGTGCAATTAATGATTTGAGGTTTCGAATTATCCTACGTGATTGCAAAGATAAATTGGATTTGATTATTAATTCGAGAATGTTCTGAGGGAAAATCTTTTCAATATAGAGACCATTATTGTTCTGACGTTTTCAACAGATAAGAGATAAATCGAGTTATAAATTGGTTCGAAAAATATCTCAGTAAAATCGTGATCCACGATACATAGTGAGTCGAATTATTTCTCGTGCTCGACAGAAGGGATCAATAAAACGTTAGGTTAGTCGGAATTGGAACACAATAAATTAAAAGAATTGAGAGAAACATTGCTTATATTTTACAGAGTAATCTAAATTGTCCCGCGCGACACGACTGCTGTACGCATCACGCGGGATCGTTTGAAAAGGCGCAATTAGGTTAAAAGTATATAGTGCCAGTGACATCGTAAACAGGCAAGGTCGCCGAACAAGGGTAAACGCTGCACTGTAGCTAATTATCACGAAAGTAGAGTGGGCGTTTATACGTGCAAGTGAAATTACATTTACGTCGGCAGTGTTATTGTTGGGACAAATGTATCGACCATATATACCATCCCACGAGACGCGCCAGTTTCGAAGTTGCCAAATTAATTAACATTAATTCCGCGTTTCTCAAGCATGCGCCTCAGTTGAAGTCGGAATGAAGTATCGATTTTGACCTTTTGACGTACAACAATTTTCGCGCGGGTTATACAAGAGCAAAGCCGAAAATAATATGAATGTGAGCCGATTGTTCCGTGCCAATAAAATACAATTTGTATCGAAACTTCGCTTTCTTTCGTATGTTATAATAATAACATAATAATTAACATTTCTACAGTTATATTTCTTGAAACGCCGTTTGTCGCAAAAGATCGCGCTTGGAATTTTGAATAAGCATGTGATCATTACACATAAATTTATTTATTTCTTATCATATAGTAAAGTGTCTGTATATAACAAGATATTTTTGGTTTAAGCGTAATTGTATATCTTTTTTTTAATGCCTTTACATAATACCATATATAAATGTCAAACAAGACATATACATGTCAAAATGATAATTTTGCGGGTACAAATTAAATAATTATTTATTATGTATTAATACTAATTATTTATTATGTATTTATTATGTATTAATACTAATTATTATGTAATTAGAATGTAGAACAGAAACAAAATTTATTATATTAATAATTTAAGTAACATGTATAGAAGCAAAGTTAATATCTTTAAGAATTTATTTTGGTAATTATACACTTTAAGGGACACCGCATCGATAACCTTAACATATTGTAAAAATCATGATTCTAAGTAACTTAACAATTAGATGGCAGTCTTTTATAATTTCTGAAATAGAGTTAAAGGTTTAATAATGTGTAATAAATCTTGCAGTAATTATTTACATTATACATTTAAGGGACACTGCACCGATGATTTTGACATATGTGGACAAGATCATAAAATCATGAGTGACCTCCAGCAGGTTTTAGGTGGCCGTCGCTGTTCGTTAAAAAGTTATTTACAAAAAAGTTTGAAAAATGATGTCTTTTCTATAAAATTTTGTTTTAAAATATATTTTACGACTTTCTTCGCGAAGCTACTTTCATCCCATCTTCCCCCCACCTCAAGGGCTTCCACGCGAAGCGACTTTCACTCACCTTTTTCCTGTTTCAGAAACGCATGATTTTCCATTCGAAACGTTTTTGCGTTGTTAAAACAAGGAATTTGTTTCATTGAAGCTCAGTCATGTCCCAAAGTTAAATTAATGAATTTTTTTTATTAATAACTTTTTAACGAATAATGAGCGACGGCTAAAACCTATTGGAAGTCATTCAGAGAGATATATCAAGATCATATATAGATATATGTCAAGATCAAGGTCATTGGGGCTTCGACATATTTACCGAGTAGTTTTTAATACTATATGTAGCAGAATAAACTGTTATTTCTTAAACTTTTTTTATTAATAACTTGATTGGATATAACAGGGCAATAGGAATCAAGTATGGTAATTCTTGTGCAATACGGTTAACAAAACAACTTTATTAATAATTAATCTGCTTATTATATATTTCGGCTCACTTTTGAATTCTCAGAGACAATATGATGTTGTGATTACAAAAAATTTTTTTACAAATTAATTCATTTCAGTGAGTCATCTCCATCTATTAACGGAAATTATAATATAAAAACGAATTCTAATAACAATTTAAAATATATTAAAATTATGCTTGACTCTTATACCACTTTGATCAAAAAGTTCCCGGAATTACCACCAAGTGATGCTCTGAATCAGCTGATTTGAGTTCTGTTTTTTTTGGTTAGGTTGCCACATTTATCATTGACATTCCCACCAAATTTTATCACTATAGCTTGACATTTATAAAAGTTATGCCGTCTTGAGTACATGTACCTCTGCACGTATTTTCGATTTTGGATTTGTAAGCAAACAACTCGTGGATTTTGCACCATGATAACGCACCGTCGCACAGTGCCATCATTATCCGTGAATTTTTGACCAAAACGAATACCATCCAACAGCCATCGAATTCATCTAATATGGCTCCTTGCGATTTTTTTCTGTTCGATCGAGTCAAAAAATCATTATGGGGAACGCGTTTTAACAACCGAAAGGAGATAATGGAAAAATCGAAGACGGCTCTGATGGCTATACCGACAATAGAGTTCTAGAAATGTTTCGAGAGCTGGATCAAGCGCTGGCATAAGTGCGTTGCAATCGGGGAGTACTTTGAAGGGGACAATATCACTTTTGATGAATAAAACTTGTATTTTGAATTTTCTGAATGAATTCCGAGAACTTTTTGATCAAGGTAGTATATGCCCTGTTATATTCAACCATTTTGTATTATTAAGGAGTCTTTAGGAATTAATTTATATTTGTCAATAACTTCTTCTTAATAACTTCAATAACTTCTTAACGAAGGACGATCATTACCTAAAACTCTGTTGGAGGTCATTCAGAGTCATCTTGATAACATATGTCAAGGTTAAAGTTATCAGCACGATGTCCCTTAAACATAATTATTTTTATTTTTAATGAAATTTATGGATATACATATATAAAGATGAGGAATGTGTAAATACGTAATATTGATTTCCAGTTACTTAAACAATTCACAATTACGAAATATAAAATATGTGCATATGTCGAAAAAGAATTTAAAAATAGTTTATTGTACCATAATATGTAAGAAGGAAAAAATAAGTTTTCATATGTGCGAAGTTTTTCATATTGCAAAAAATCTACAAAATTCGTTCAAACATAATATATATAAATTTAAAAATCTCCTATTTAATTTGTTCATACTACAAGAAATATCCAATCTTCGAAAATTATATAGAAAAATACAATTTAAAAATATTTTTCAAGAGAATCTTTCAACTTGTGGGGATCTACATTAGGACCGTGACGTTCAACAACCTTGCCCTCTTTATTCACGATGAACTTGGTGAAATTCCATTTTATGAAGTTACCCAGCAGGCCACCTTGTTCTTTCTTCAGATATGCCCAAAGAGGATGCGTGTTATTTCCGTTCACATCAATTTTCTCAAATAAATCGAATTTTACCTGCGGAAAATACTAAATATGTTAATATGGGTTTATTCATTGAGGAAAGTAGGCAATTGTTTACAATACATTCAGAGAAAAAAACATTTTTTATAATGACAACTGTATAGATGATAACTATTATATAAATATAAGTTCTATATCTAGAATTTATGTACATTGAAGTTTTCATAATTATTCAGCTTATAAAACTAAAATACAATAGTTGATTTAGCGCGCCTGTGTGTGTGTGTGTGTGTACATATATATATATATTGCAATATAACAATTTTATAGTTAGCCAAGTTTTTTTAGTAAAACGCTATTTTTTCACTCAAATATTTATATTTATAAAAGATTATGAATAAAGAGTAAAATTACTTTCTGGCGATCGGCAAAACTGCAAATCTCCTCGCTATTCCCTGGCTCTTGACCATTGAATTGGTTACAAGGAAACGCTAAAATTCGTAATCCTGCCAAATAATGAATAAAAAAAAAATCTTATTATTATTGTTTCGTAATATAGAATAGCTTTCAATTTCCTCATAATGTGAGAATTTACCTTTAGATTCAGCATACTCGTCGTATAGCTCATTCAGTTCTTTGTAATTCGTTGCTGTGAGGCCACATTTCGAAGCGACATTTACGATCAAGCACACATGATCTTTATATCTAAATCAACAAGAGGTGATATTACAGCTTTTCCATATGTGATAATGTGACTTTACGCGACGCAGTCGGGTTTATGCTTACTTGGACAAAGGGACTTCCTCTCCTCTGATGGAGTTCGCCGTGAAGTCGTAAATCGATGTGGCCGATTTGTAATCCTTGTTTCCGCTCATCGCTGTTACAACTGCAATCGACGGGAGCATGAAGGTTTTTAATGTGATAGATATCGACATTGCGCCTTACGAATGACAAATACTGTTAATTATTGTATTTTTTTTTATTTTCACAATCTGATATTAATTTATTTTCTATATCTACATTAGTCATAAGTTACGTTTATTGAAACAAGGATGTACAAAATAGTGTTGTAACAAAAACACTTCATGTTTAGTTTTTCTTTGTGTAAACTAATAAATAATTACATTGAAACAACATAATTTTTACAGAAGGAAACGCTTGATATTTTAAGAGAATTGAAATGTGATTTGTATTTATGTTAATAGATTAAAAAATGTGTCGATAAAATAATAATAATCATGCTTTTAGAATATTTAGATGCTTAATTTTGCTATATTTAAAACTCGCTTTCGATGCCATAGTTTTTTTTCACACTAAAGCATCACATACAAATCGGCAATGAAGCGATATCCGATGAAATAAAATAGAATTTTACAATATTCTTAATTGCACTATTAATCGAGATGAAATATGAAATTAAGATGAAATATCGAGAGCAGCACACTTCAAGCTATTGCGAATTAAAGGTTATTGAAACGATTGAGTTGAATGAAATATTATGGAAAATTTTTCGTAAATTCATCTTTCTGAAGTTTAAGTCTAATAATTTTTTCAAAAAAGATAGTTTCGACAGTAATATATATATTCATCAAATTAAATGTCTATCGTTAGCTGTAGGGGAAATGATGTTATGATGAGAGGAAATGGGAAAAGCAATTCTCAAAATACGTGCCTGCGAAATTTCGAGTTAAGTACATGAATCCGGGTACGATGAATTTTATAACGTGCATTTCCGATGTGTCAGGGTCCCGTTCCTAAAATTGCCGATACAGAAAAGGAGGAGGAGAAGGAAAATATTACGAATTCAATCCCCCTTTAACAAAAAGAATTCAGGAACTTTATATTTCGCGATTTACAGTTTTCTCATTATTTATCATTATTATTATTCAGTTCCCTTCTAAGGAACATATCTACGAAAAAATTATAATTGAGAAACAGCATTTACGTGAATTTAATTATTGACTTATACTATATATATTATAAAAATATGGAGGCAGTGAAATTCACAAAAATTATCATTGATAGAAATGTTTCTTATTAAATTATATTATGTTAAAAAGTAAAATGGCAAAATTTACAAATAAAAAATTCTAGTTTTAATGTTTTATATTTAAAGTAAGAACGGTTGTTATTCAAAATACGTAAACATATACAAGAATGTTTGTACAAACTAGGAGATTTTTTTAATTATTTGTAAACATGTAATTGCAAAGATAAGTAAAATGAATTCGTATCTAGGGTCCCAAAATTCGAAGACAATATTATTACAGTGTAAAACTTCGTGAAAAATTAAATGATGAAAATGCATTCCATTTTTTTCATATTTTTTCATATTTTGTTTTCGAAATATGCAATGTTATGAATTTGTGCTTGCAAAATAAATATAAATATAATAACAATGATATAGCTCACGTGCAATAAATTCAGACGACATCTCAGTATCAATTTTAAGCAAGCAATGTTTTACTGATACTTTTGTTCCGCTAGCACACTAAGATTTTTTCGTTGTTATTTTATACTTATTTCGTATGTAATGGATTCAA